GTTAGAACATCGCTTCTACTTGTTCTGGATTATGATGTAAAAGTTTTTTCCGAAAAGCAACAACTTGTCTGGGTGGCGCAATTGGTTAGCGCGTCTGACTGTTAATCAGGAGGTTATGAGTTCGATCCTCATCCTGGACGGTTAGCTTTTTGTTTTTGTTGTTTCCCGTCTATTCTTTGCAGCTTCAAGCCATTAGGAAGGTGTGGTAGTGGTGGGGCCGACAGGGGTCATCCCGCTATCTGGAAGGGTGTCTTCTTCTTGGGGCAAAGCCTTGTACGGACCTGAGTCCATATGGTCCGGAAATACTAGAAAGTAAGGCGAAACTGCTCTGTCTTGGTACCTATATCCTTGATCCACTAGGGGCCCTGCAATCATGGACCTGGGCATTGAGGCAAACGACGATTTGATGTTGAGTGCAAAAATGGATTCGGTACTATGAAATAGCGAGTAGAGAGTATCACGCTGAAGCGGGGAAAAAAATAATGGCAGGACCGTGAGTGCAGCAGACGGCGTCCAGTAATTAAAAGCCCAGCGGCCTACAAACGAAACAGTGAATGATTTAAATGCTTAGCAAGAGGGACATCTCTGGGCAAGCAGGGTAGCCAGCGAGGGCCGGAGGGGTGGCCGTACTTTCAACACACATTTCAGGAACCTAGAGCAGCTATCTACTTCATTCACCTAACATGACCATCCATAGCAGAATGTTGTTCGCTCGCCGTACCGCTTGTAGATAGTTAGTTAAACAAGTCCTCGGTTTAGAGAACTTGATAAATGTGTACAGTATAACAGGTGTTGAATATTGTAGAAAGTCACAACTAAATAGGAGACAAATATTCAGTTTTACAAGATAGGACTACAGTTTGTCTCATCAAGTAGGGATTCGGTTCAGAAAGAGGGAGGGCACTCTTAACTATACAAGCACACTGTTGAAAAGATTTATTGTCTGCATTGAACCAAAGGTACATCCATTGTTGACAAGGTTAGAACAAGTTCCTGGTCATGTCTTGCAGCGGCCTCGTATTAGGGCTATTGTGAGGTCTATTTCATGTACTCATCGCGGTATGTATCACAAGACAATCACAAGACCTTAAACTAAATGCGTACTGAAGTTATCACAACCTGGGACACCCTGTTCAACAAATTCGAGTATCAATAAAGAAAGAAAAAAGCAGAGCCTCCAAGTTGCAAGATTAGCTTCCCGCTGAGTGATTTATAGCCGGTCCGGCAGACTGATCTACTCACATAGTTGCTTCCATAGATTACGAGGATGACAGCAGGGTGTCCATCAGTCGTCTGGGTGGCGCAATTGGTTAGCGCGTCTGACTGTTAATCAGGAGGTTATGAGTTCGATCCTCATCCTGGACGTCTCTTCTTTTTTTTGTTAAGCTGAAGCTTCAATACTCTCTTCGGGATAAGATGGAAGACTCTAGGCCAAGAGCCCATCGGTCGTCTCGGTGGCGCAACTGGTTAGCGCGTCTGACTGTTAATCAGGAGGTTGTGAGTTCAAGCCTCACCTGGGACGTCTTTCTTTTTTGCTTGGTAATAAATAGTTTTTTGCTGTCAGGGTATTATTATCCAAGTAAAATAATGCGCGTGCATGCGTTTCGTAGAAGCCCGGCTGTTGGGTGAAAGTAAAGCAGAAAGCTATCCCTTTGTGAGATGACCACAACCTAGTTCTAGGGTTCTCATTTGATCACAATTATTACAATAAGAGAAAAACAATACCCACAGCACCGTGGTTCTGCTTTTGAAAATCGAGTTTCGTGCGCTGTGTGGGGAAGGTGCCCTGCAGCACATAGCTTGCTGAGTTGAAGCCTTCCAGAGGGCTAAAATATTGTTGATCACATTGATTTATAAGTCAAGGTTTAAAAAGCGAGCCAGCTAGATGGGTCTCTCAAGCTATTTCAGATCATTGCGGTATTGAGAACCTGTACATACACCAGTAGTTACTTGAAAGAAGCTCGACATCCTATAGCGTCCACATCCATGTAGGAGGCTAGTTGAAGAGAAACATTAACGTGAAAAGCCAGGGTTTGATAAGATTGGGTGGAAATTTGCTCACGTGTATAACCTCGGTGCCTCAATAAACAGTATATCTATAACTCTTCTCTAATTAGTAGAGCAGTGATGGGTTATGGGTGCTTCTGGCATGCTGTCGAAGTACAGTGCCACAGGTGTGAAACATTTAGTATCGAATCTGCTCTGGACACATTATTAGGAAATGGATTTCGGACTCTGGTGCTTCCAAGGCCTATACTATAATAGTCACGTACTTGGTTCCTCGAACAGGAAACCTGGTAGGCATAGAGCTAGATATGCCAGGAAGACGCTTATGCAGAGAGTTTCCGAGTATACAAACACTTTTGATTGGCGTTAGCGATTTACCCTAGATTAGTCGGTATGCCTGATCTACGTAAGAAATATTCTACATTTGGGAGCTTGTATGAATTCGCAAGTTTATTTTCTTCAGATGGCTATTTCCCTTCCCAGTTGACAGAAGAATCTACTATAGTTAGCCCATACTTGGAGGGGGGTGTATGCTGTTTTGAGTGTAATGTTGGTTGCCTCCGTCAATAATTTACTCTATAGAACAGAATATACAACCAAAAAAAAGTAGGAAAGGATCGAGAAATATGAAGAACTGAATAGAGGGTTTCGAACCTAGAGGAGAAATAGAGAGAGAAACGGAATTCACCTTCCAGACCAATTCATTTCCAGCGTTCCATATTCTCCCACTACCTATTATCTCCATTGGCACATGTCGCCGAATAAGGAAACCAAGGAAATTTGCCCTGAATCACAGTTGAGACAATTCAAGCAGTACTCCGTAGAACCAACCTCATCGTGCATATCTCATGGCCCATATGTGCCACAATGATAGGGGCCGGGTTCCACTCCTCCATAGCCATCAGACGCAGTATATACTTGTTGGTCTCTTTCCCTCTGTAACGAGCCTTGCCCAGTGGTTGTCCCGGTATCCTCTAGACTCGATTATTTTCTCAAGTCCACTAAAGAGCACTCAAGAGATCGTTAGGGCATGGTTGAGAAGGGTATCGGTCGCTCTCAAAGCGACTTGCTGCTCCCCAGCCTCGATTGAACCAACATCCGATTCAATTGCTGCTGCCTAATTTTAGTGGAACGAACGGCTTACTATTCCTTTAGCCGTACCATTGTCGGGTCATGTTTAGCCAGGTTTCCATACATCTGGTCTCCTCCGCGACGACCAACCCTCCTTCGTAGTAGCGACACGTACACTGAGCCTACATCCAAGTTGCACAATCGCAAAGTAGGAATACAGTAGGCAGTAGTAGCACCTATGCGCGGAATAAAAATGCTAGTGAAGGAATTGACAAGATTAAAAAGCAAAAACAAACGTCCAGGATGAGGATCGAACTCATAACCTCCTGATTAACAGTCAGACGCGCTAACCAATTGCGCCACCCAGACATTTATATATAATATGATTCTTTTATACAGTCTTATTAGCCTATAGCAAAATTTGAGTTCTCTACTTGTGAAAGTTGGTTTGATTCTGTACTGTTGCCGGGAAGCTTCACTCTATGCTCTTACAGAAATGGAAGGAAATAAAAGAAACTCGGGTTTATATGAAATGTGTTACAGATTAAATGATGATTCAATTCAAACACTATACAGCATACCTGACTCCCAGTAAAAAAGAAAAAAGAAAGAAAGAAACAGATTACACATACATAGTACTATGGTTATTTTGTTCTCTGTATCAATCCAACCTAGAGAAAAGAAAATCAAGCTCAAGGCCTTATCACGGCAATGCATGTCCACACCCGAAACTCTACCACAGCGGCATGGAGCTCAGTAATAGCACATCCGAGCAAGCCATGCGCATTAGGCAGTTAGTGTTTCATCTACATTGTTGCTCCTAGAACTCCGTGGGATTGATCTTCACCTCAAGAAAGCAATCGTCAGAAGTGACAGAACCACGCAAATACCTGCTACAAGAAAAGTCAGCATACCAGGGGTCTACAACATCAGCGTGGAATTTGACTTACACCCACCCAATGCCGAGTTCATGTAATAATATCCAAACGCGTCTGTTAAAGACCCCGACAAAAGGGGTCCAACAAGTAAACCCATTGTGAAGCTTATATTGGACAGTGAGTAAGCGTGCGAGTATCCACCATTGGGACCAAATATTCCTGGATGCTTCGATTCCAACTCATCAACCGTGCCTGTTTGTGTGGCGCACTTGATTAGCATATTATACATCATGAGGCAACAGGGTAGAGCGACGGAATGTTTTTGTCTCTTACAAGTAATCTCAATCGTACCAACACTTGTCAGCAAATTCTAGACGCATCCTATGGTGATAATCGACACGACATATAGTAGACTGGCTTGATCTTTGGAGCTAACCCAATGATGGTGCACTTGATCGGTAACCCCGAGGAGCCAGAGCAGCGGGGCTAGGAGTATGAAGTCTACGGATGTTGGCACGCGGGTACACACTCTGTCTCGTAGCCAGCCACAGATGGGACTAAAAACAATCGCTGGGGCTTGGAGACCGACAAACAAAAGACCAGTAGCTAAACTTCCCTACCCAAATATTTGTCTTACATGGGTAGGAAGAGTAGTGTTATAGCAAGCAACTAGGGAGGAATGTGTCATATAGCTCAACAGCGCAACAATGACTCTCGGCTGTCCCAGGATAATTCGATAGAAGTATCCAGCTGAGACACCATGGACTTTCCCAGACGTTGTAGATCTGTTGAGTTGCGCGGGAGGAGTGGCAAGTAACGCAGTATCCTCAGTCATACTGTCTATCTGCCCACGCTCACCGTTGTCAGTTTTGGCACTCTTTGATCTTTTGCTTGGATTCTCGATCATACGACACGAGACGAAGTCAACGGGGTCGATAGACATATTCAAGTGGTGGTATTTTATGTCTACGGATCTTATTGGGCAGTTAACTTTGGGTCATACATTTCAGTTGCTTGAACGTGATTAGGTATGATTTCTATGTTCTCCCTTCTTCTTCTCCTTTTCCTTTGCCCTATTTTGCTTGTTCCCTCTAAGCCTGGTGTTGACATAAATCATCCAGTCCTAAAGCTAACTCTTGTGTAGAAGAATCAGCTAGCAGCCGATTTAGAGGCCCTTCCTCGCTTGGGTATGATCGGATCGGCCTTTCCCATGTTACTTCAACTCTCAGGCATATTACCCTTGCATTTTTTTTTCTTTGGAATGCAATGAAAGCCGGTCAACGGATCGCAGAGTATGCGGATCAACCACTCCTGGCTTATAAAACGTCAGTCACCCAGGACGCCACCAATCCAAAGCCTACCCTCTTTACCAAGTTATTCCATGTGGGCTCGGATCAACTATCGGACATAGACCATGGAAGTGAAGCACAGGAGTATATAGTTGGTGGTAATGACAATACAGCCATTACACTAACATACCTCGTGTGGGAGGTTTGCCGAGATGCAAAGGTCAAAAGTGGATTGCTACTAGAGTTAAACACACTTCCGGAAAGTTTCGGTGACGATGACCTCAAGAAACTACCATTCTTGAACAATGTCGTACGGGATACCCTGCATTTATATGCTACAAATCCGTCCAGCAGGCCTCGAATCCCCCAGCTCCTGGGGCGAATCTCTGTGGATACTGGATTCCGAGTGGTGTGACGGTACCTACGCAGGCTTATAGTCTCCATCGAGTTCCTCATATATTTCCTCATCCCGAAAGGTGTGTATCCCCAGAGCCCGTGCGAGTTTGAGACCTCGGGAAATTACCGTTGCTTTGGTACTGACGATTTGCACGAAAGGTTCGACCCCTGGCGTTGGGCCTCAACAACGAAAGAGATGACACATGCTTTTATGCTCTTTCGCGGGGGTTCTCGAAGTAAGCACCTTCTTCGTTTTTCTTTTTTTTTTTCTCCAACTACAGCATATACTTACCATACTTGTATAGTCTGTTTGGGTCTATATCTGGCTCTCAGAGAACTTCCCCTCGGTGCTGCGCACGTCTTTCGTTCCTTCCCCGACGCAAAGTTTTCAACTAGGAATACATGAGCGACTCTGACATGGAACAAGTCTGCTACTTCATTATGTCGCCATATGGGAAACGATGCCTAACAGAAGCTACAATATAGGTTAAGTTTCCTATATTTTCTGAATAGAGCATTCTTCGCGGAAGTGCGTAGCGCTTCCAAATCTCCACTCATGATATCTCCCGGTCGCAAGCTAAACCGAGTTACTAGAAGTTTGATATGTTGTGATACGTCAAGAGAGGTCTCGGCGGCGTAGTATCTGACGATTGCCGTAGGAGAAAGGGTGCGGATAAGGATTGCTATAAACAAAGTTGCTACACCAGCATATTCTGTGAACGATGGCGGTGAAACTACTCTACATCTCGGCTAATTATACCACCAGGCCAATCTACTCGCTGTGTCTGTAATTGGCGATAATAGGAATATCCATGTATGGTTATATGTTCGGATGGGCGGAAGCATGTGTATATGATGAGCGCTCTTGTGGATATTCTCAATGGATACACATACAATTAGAGAAGGAAAATAGCGCCTGACTGTGGATTACCTAGTAGATCTGCTTGCATACACCTTAAAACACAGAACTATCATAGATTCACACGGCTATGTCAAAAGCGTGAAGTCAGGGAGACAAGGAGTCTATTATGCAAGCCACTAGAATATTAAACTGTGAAAAAGGCTTCACATTGACTATAGACCCGCGGGGTAAGTGTTTTACTTGGTAAATCGCTGTCTACCCAGTCTGTTATATCATTAACCCCTCCGCCTCCGCCGTATATCAGTGCCTTTGATATAAGTTACCAACCCGTATAAAGAAAGCTTACGCCGATCCATTTTTATAGTATCCCTCTGAGTTACGCGGGACTTTAGCATTCAGCCCAAATACTTATTCACTATTCTAGGGCGGCAGCTCTTTGAGATACTTATTCGCCCCTGTCCACCCTTTCCTCTCTTTCGTTTCTATTTTTCTGTCACCGTGCATATTTGGAGGCCCAACCGAAAGGCAGATCGTTACAACACCGGCAACGTCTGGGATTCTGATCCCACGATGTACTAACTGATCAGAAACAGGGGCACAATGGTCAAGGTCGCCCGACAAGCCAGCGAGGCTGGTTTCACTGTAAAAGTCCTTTTCAACTTGAAGATCTACCCTACATTTGATCCCCAGGAAGAATCTATCCGAAAAGTTCTAGCTAAGTACAGATAATTGTTTAAAGATCTAAACCCTAAATGCAATCAAGAATACTTGCAGGGAAACCGCAACAGTGTACATGGGAATAGAAGATATTCACAGAGGCAAGAAAGCATCTCGCCAGCTTGAGTATAATAATATTGGGAATCTCGGATTCACCAATTCCTTCGAAGGAGGAGACGAATGCGGCCGTTTAGCTGCTCCCACATTACCTGACGAAGATGCAGAGTTCGCTGTTAAGGTCTTATTAAATTAGGTCCCATCACTAGCGGAAAAGGGCATTCTCAGTTGATGTTCTATCTGTTAATGGCATGGTATCTGCTGTGATAGTATCGATTATATTTTAGTGAAAGTCTCTCTGGGCAAGTCAAGCGACATGATATCGGCAAGAACGGAGGTGGACAGCAAGACAAATATTGCCTACATGATCCATACAGCGTCAATGAAGATGGACTTGTTTGAAGCCCATTTCTTCAGGACTAGTTTCACTCAGACTTTATGACCGCTTCCCATATATTCTCCTACAAACACAGGCAGGCCAGTATGGATGCTATATGCGAAAAAGTTCAGCCAGCTGAACTAATTCCATCAAGGAAGAGGCTGATAATGTTCTCGATTGTTGGTCGATTTTTCGATGCCGGTGTGATGGTGATAGTTTCCAATCTTCCTGAAGACCAACCAGACTATACTATCCAACTGGATAGGACAGGAAATCCGGGGATGCAAACGAGTCCATACCACTGATAACACGTCGAGCGAAACGGGTAAATGAGTATTATCCAAATATCACTATATATGGTGAGCTACAGGATATGAAGGAGAGCAACATTCTTATAGCTTGTAAACTAATGATTCAGGCGAATAAAAACTCGCTACTGTTTGTTTTTCTACAGATTACAAATGAATTGGAGATACCTTTATACCGATTTACTCTGGTTCATTTCAAAAACCTACATTTTACGTCTAACTCCTATCTTTTCTAATCATTCTTGGGTATTAGATCTATGTAGAATCAAAAATTTCCCGTCCCGATTCTGGAATTAAATACGCAAGGGGTTAGAATCCTAGAGAATACGCAGAAGATCATCTACATGTTGTTACAGACTAGTAGAATACATATATCCCGGAGGTATACTTATAATGTAAGTAGATCTCTATTCGAGAAGAGCAGCATTGACTGTTGTTCCAAGCGTGTGCAAGAAGATGTCCAGTCCATGGAAACAACTTATTAACTTATTTAGTTCTCCTCGGGGCTACTATACGTCGCTCAGTCCACCTACATGAACGGCGCAGCTATCCAATGTTACTCGGGAAGAACCATCATTTCACTATCAATATTTCAGTCTATCTTGCTGCACCAGCAGAATTTACTACAAACTCATATCTACGGCATGTATATTGACAATGTCTGATCAACGAGTAGCAGGAAGGACCTAGAGTGAAGTACTGCGTGAGGCAAAAAGAAAAATTAGTTACAGAACTAAAAAGTTAACCGTCCAGGATGAGGATCGAACTCATAACCTCCTGATTAACAGTCAGACGCGCTAACCAATTGCGCCACCCAGACGAATTCTTGGGGAAGTGAGAGATTAAGTGTTATATAACTGACTTTTTGTGAGTGATCCTACAAATCAAGTTGTCCATCGACAAGGTAGGATCATGACCTACAGAGGAAATGGAGTAGGTAACCTTGCAATGATCTCCGCAAACGTTGGATAAAACAGAGGGACATAAACAAGTCATCTACACGCAATGGGATGGAACTCGGATTGAATGTGGCGTGAATAGTCGGGTTCGCCGTATTCTCATGAAACAGCATCTTGAGCTCGTGGATGCTCGGTTCAACTCTCGGCTATACAACGTTTTATCTCTGGCACATTAATATAACACAGCTCGGGGCTTCCCTTTAGGTCTCTTCCTATGCTAGTCTACAAACGGGCCTTACCGTGTTTCAGCACATTGGTTCTTGTACCTAGTATCCTTACCTAGTAGCGATAAATCTGCTCTATTAGGCTAGTTCATTGTTGGATTATGGCGCTTGAAGCTAGTATAAAGTCTTTGCTTGATATATTAAATAAAAAAACGCAAATTATAAGATCGTCTGGGTGGCGCAATTGGTTAGCGCGTCTGACTGTTAATCAGGAGGTTATGAGTTCGATCCTCATCCTGGACGGTTTCCTTTTTTGCTCTTACGCTAGAAGCATATAATTTTTTCTTTTGAATATTATTAATTGAACGTTAATGTCAATATTATCTGGAAGCTTGCTTGCTCCCAAGGAGTTCGGTCTAATTTTTGCATGCTGGATGCGTCCCAAGGTTCTCGCGCTGTCCGTTATGATACCATTTCCAGATGTTACGTCATCTCTGCGGCTTTAGCAGTTGTACTCTGTACGTGAGCTATATATATGTAAGAGGTACTAGTAGGAAGTAGAGTCAATTGTTCTACTAATACTTCAGCGGTACTACTAGTATGATATGATCACTCGCTGGACTAAACGCACTGTACTTTAGGCGGATCGTGCTCCTGTTTACTCGATGTAACCAATGGTCCTAAAACGGCGTTAAAGTTCAGTCGGATCTACATCCGAAGGTATGCGGACGGTTATTGCTTATCAATGTCCAAGCCGAGGGCCGAGTACGAGACATGTCCACTTGTTGGGACGGATTATTCACTCCTTGCTTCTTTATTATTTGTCTACTAGTACCGCTCTATGAACTTCCCTTCCTTCTTTCCATATACCTCCTCTTTCCAGCTCATTCGCCTTTCTCGCCAAGTCCCTAGCTTTGTGCAAGGCTACAAGCCATTCTCCTCATTTCCCCCCAGCACCTAACCCCAGATTTCCCCGCACCGTTACTATGCCGGTCTCCTCACAGTATCCGCCGGTTGACATTCCCAATGTCGACCTTTGGACATTTCTATTCGAACGCAAGGATAGGACCTTTCCAGATGACAACAGTATGACCGCCCATCTTTGGCCATTCTTGGCCGTCTCTTCGGCCAGCGCCTCATTTTATCCTGAATTCGGCAGCTAACGTGTCTTGCCAGTCATTTACCAGGATGCCGACACACAACGCTTCTACACCTACAAAACCCTGAAAGATGCAGCACTTGCATTTGGTCACGGATTGAAGGCCGTTTATGACTGGCGCAAAGGGGATGTTTTGGCGTTGTTCACTCCCAACAGCATTGACACTCCGGTGGTGATGTGGGGAGCTCATTGGGCTGGGGGCGTCGTATCCCCGGCAAACCCAGCCTATACGACCGAAGAGCTAGCATTCCAGCTGAAGAACTCGGGAGCGAAAGCTGTGATTACGCAGGTTCCCCAGCTATCGGTAGTAAGAGAGGCCGCCAAGAAAGCCAACATCCCCGAGGACCGCATCATCCTCATTGGAGACCAGCGCGACCCAGAAGCCAAGGTCAAACATTTTACGTCAATCCGAAACATTTCGGGGGCAACCAGATATCGGAAAACCAAGATCAATCCGGAAAA